TATATATATATATATATATATATATAGACTCACACACAATATTTTTAAGTAAATACTGTTAGTCTTTGCTGTGTGTAGCTGCTATTTTTTTTTCCAAATATACCTGTTTAGGGTGCAACACCTCACATTGAACTATTCTTAACAGACGTTCAATAACTGAGGGAGTTTTTTTAATGTTTGTGGAGTTATTTTTATTTTCAAACAATTATTATTCAGTGAGGCTTCTCCTTCCCACCCCTTTCATTGTTTATCTAAAACCTTTTTTTTTTAAAGAACAAGTTTCACATATCAGTTGCGAAACTGAATGCTCTCTTCTTTGGACTTCCTGGACTTCATGCGTCCTTCCTAGGCATTGTGGTGTGGCCCTCTCCCATCCCTGACTCGGGGATTCCCTCAGGCCTCCCTGGTGGGCAGGAGGAGGAGGAGCCCCCATCTCTAGGAAGCAGGACGAACAGAGCACATGCAGGCCAGGCGGCAATGAAGACCAGCCACGAGGACCCAGCACCCCCATCAAAGGGACCCACATGTGGGCTCCTGGAGAGTTACTTGGGAATTGGAATCTAGTCAGAGGCTCTTTTCTGAATTGCATCAGCATGCTGCCTCACAAGGGCTTCATACCTGAGCTCTGTGGTGTACTCTGCTAGGCTGGGGAAGGTGAGGCCATTGGAGGGCGGGGCATCCACTTTAGCTGGTGGGGTCCCACCTCTTGTCTGCCTTGGGTCTGTGGCTCTGTGCACTTGGAGCTGGCCCACATCTATCGTTGGCGCATCTTCCTTGAAATGCTCTCTTGTGTCTCCTCGGGACGTCTGCCACTTCTGCTTGTGTGTCTGTTCTTGAATTTCTTCCTTTCTTCTTTTTGTTTCAGCACAGTCACAGGTTTTGATTTGCCACCTCTCTTTCTCTCTTGCACACTTAGTGCATGTGTGGGCATCCTGCCACGTTTACATGAAATTTACAAAGAGAATGGCGGATGCTGAGCTGACCGTGAGCACCAGGAGTTGGGATGGCAACTTCCAACTCAGGGAGGGCCTCCAGGGTCTTAGCTGCCAGGAAACAATGAGATCACAGGACATTTCAGCAATCTTCATTTTCACACTTTTCGCTTGGAAAGGCATCCTCGCCCCTCCCTGGAATCCCTCCATCATGCCAGGGCCTTCTTCACAGAGGAAATGAAAATACGTGTCTGTGAGCAGCAGCAGGGAAAAGAAGAAAGAAAAGCAAGGAAAGTAGAGAGCAAGGCAGGGAAGGGGCAGGGGAGACCTGACAGCAAGGACCAGCCTATCGCTGTGCTCTTACCATCATCCTCTCATGGCCAACACTAGCCGCTCCCCGTGTTCCCAGCCACCGTGAAACTCTCTGGCATCATCTCCTCTGGGCTTTTCTCTTCCCCACAGGCCCTTCCCCTTCCAGTGGCTGGCCCTGGGCGTCAAGGCAGGATTTCATACACGCTGAGTGCTAAAACTGCCTGGTGACTGTGTCTCCAGACCCAGATGACTTTGATCCTGAAAGCCCGGATACTTAAGGCTGCCCCGTGGCAGGGTCACTCTGTCCCACACTGGGCATCAGCATTTAATCTATCATGTGTCTGAGTCCCTGACAACCCCTCAGGGCTGCTGCTTCAGCTGCTTCCCAGAGGAATGCCCGTGATGTTTTTAGGTTTTTTAAAAAATTTTAAGTCTCTGGGCCCATTTCTTTCGCGGGACCCCCTGATGGAAAATAATCCATTACAGTATTTAGGCCTGGTAAGCACGTTCGTGCCCAGAGATAGAGAATACAAAAACGATCTCCTTTTCAATCCCTAATGACCCCCCTATCAAGTATGTCCACTAAGCCCCATATTTTATTCCTCTGTCCACATAGAACATTTAGCTCTACTTTTTGTTCTCAGAAACTTGGTAGTATCACCAAGCTATGACTGATGGTGTTAGAGTCGTTTCTGCAAGCTCTGCTTCTTCCCTGCTTGGCAGGTCTGCCTCTTCTCCCAGCCTCTGTGAAAAAGGAAACTTCAGTCCCCTCAGATGACATTGGGGTGATGTCGCCTGAGCTCACGGCCTCAAGCCTGTGACATCCAGAATGGGAGCTCCATGTCTCTTAAGGCTATGATGAGGGGTACTGGGGAGGCTTCAGGCTCTCAGATCAGCCTCCCTGGCCTCACTCACCCTAAAGCTTCCCGTGTCTCCAATGCTCTCCTGCACTCTGCCTCTGGAAGGCGTCACCTGGTTCTGCAGGGTCAGGCCTATGCCAACAAGATGGGTACCAGGAATGAGATGGGTAAGACACTCACCCAAGCAGATCTGGGGCCAGAATGAAAGAGGACCCATCTCTCTTGCCCAGACATGCTGCCATCATAACACAGCCTTGGGCAGGGAAGATGACATTTCCCCGTGGCCTGGGGATCCCCCACACCACACCTCACCAGGCGCAGAATCATTCAAGACTTGACGATCCTCATGTCCCCAGCCCAGTCCCTCTGCAGCCGTGGCCCCTCTGAGTCCCATGAACCTGTCTGGCCCATGGTCATGAAGGTGATTCTTCTGGCTGAGGAGCATCTCATGCCACGGATGTCTGACCCTGTCCAGATATAAGCCTGATTCTCAGAAAGAAGAATTTACAGGTTTTTAAAAAGCGCCAGCCGGGCGCGGTGGCTCACACTTGTAATCCCAGCACTTTGGGAGGCCGAGGCGGGTGGATCACGAGGTCAAGAGATCGAGACCATCCTGGTCAACAGGGTGAAACCCCATCTCTACTAAAACTACAAAAAATTAGCTGGGCATAGTGGTGTGTGCCTGTAATCCCAGCTACTCAGGAGGCGGAGGCAGGAGAATTGTTTGAACCCAGGAGGCGGAGGTTGCGGTGAGCCGAGATCGCGCCATTGCACTCCAGCCTGGGTAACAAGAGCGAAACTCCGTCTCAAAAAAAAAAAAAAAAACAAACAACACCAAATTACATCATTTTCTCCATTCTTCCTCCAGTTTTTCCCCCACTGCACAGAGGGGCGGAAGAGGAGGTCTCTGATGCGGATCTGGTTTGAAACTGCACTGGGTGGGCCACAGCCTCGCTTCTTCCTGTACATCTAAACCCCTTTGCAGTCTTCACAAGCCAGATAGAGGAAACACCGCCTTTCTTCTGCCCACCTGGTCTGCTGCTTGCTCACAGGAGGGCTAGAACCAACCCCCAGCCTTGATGCCCCCAGACCTTAGCATAGTTGCCTCTCTCCATTATCCAGGGACAGAACAAGAAGAGCACAACAGTGTGCAGGCTTAGAGCCTTTGGCATGGAGCCAAGGATATCAGCTCCTAGAAGAGAATGACGCAGGCCGCATTCTCATGCTCCTGGCTCGCTCAGATGAGCTGGGCTGGGGACTGTCACCTACATTCGTTTGGCACAGATGGTAGCATTTTCTTTGCCAAGAAAAGTGGCTTCTTACTCAAAATGAACCCTTCCAGCCCTTGTATGTGTGATGACAGCCGCTCTGGAGCGTGGCTTCATGATTGAAGGAGGGGAATCTCCTTGTGTACCCTTAATTTGATTTTCTTACCAAGAAGCTAAAATCTATTCTTTCTTTGCCAAACTGAAAAATATTAAGACAACCAGATTTGGTCGGGAAGGTTGAGATTTAAATTTGGATAGTGTAAAAGGAAGAGAGCTCATTGTAATTAATTTCGCCAAGATCAATGTGACACTCTCCATGCAGGGAAATCTGGAGGAGCTTAAGGTAGACCTGGGGAAGACCCTGCAGGAATGAAATGGAAGGACCCAGGGAGGTGGACTCACCCCAGAGGCTGGACCAGTCTTACAGGGAGCAGTTCTGTTCATTTCACTCTCAAACATTGGTTGGTTGCTAGACCCTGTTGGGTAGCCCCTCACATGGAGCACAACACAGTTACCCCTTAGGAAGTGAATGCAAATCAATATCGGTTCCTCTTATCAAGGTCCAGCTGAGAACGAGATGAGCACAATGGGAACTTCTTTAAGCTTCAATCTCTTTCTCCTCAGCCCAAACTGGTCACTGTCGTAGAAGCAACATTCCATTCTCACCCACGGTTCAACCTCCAGAACATGGAAATGGCAGGGGCCAGCCAGTCACAGGTTATAAACCCATGAGCTTGCAAGAGGATTTCTTCCAGCATCCTCAATCAATGTGTACCTTTCCCAATTTCAAAACATGTAAAAAGGCAACTCTACCCTCCCAGAGATTTTTTTTCCTACGCCTCTTCACTGGGAAAAAAGATGATGCTTAATCTGAATTCTTGCAGTGGCAACACAAGCCCCTTTCTCACCCATCTTTAGCTGTTCTAAATGTTTCACTTCTTGCTTAAACACTGTATCTTCTGCTGTTGGCCAGATATCAAGAGACAAGGGTGCTGCCTTGATCCTGCTGCAGCGTCCTTCCTTGGCTCGCCTGGTCCTGTCTGCCTTGTTTAGCTCTCCCTGGCACCATATGCTCCTTACTCCTGTGGCTTTTCTTGCACTGGCTGGCAGGCCATGGCTGGTATGTCCTGGAGCCAAAGGTCGTGAGTGCTATTCATGACAGCTCCTGAGGACAGCAGACGGACCACCATGGGAGTTCCCCATGCTCTTGGCCAGCACCTTGTGTCGAGGGCTAAGAATAGACCACATCGGAAATGAGCAGGCAGGACCTAGGGACACCTGCCTCAGGCTGCCCCCTCACATGTAGAACAGTGCGTAGGTAGCAGCAGGAGATGCTGGCCTTGTCAATCCCTAACAAAAATCTCAAGACCACTACTCCTAAAAATCATTCTCAAACCAACGAGGACAAAGAAATAACTTCCCTTTAGTATAGTGTCAATTGGTAACCCAGTGAACATCCTTCTATATGCAACGTTTGACCATCTGTCACAGCGGATACAGACAGCCCATCATCTGTTAAATGAGCTCCCCTGGTCTGCTTGTCCATCTTCAGC